CCAATTGTTGGTAGATGATGCAGAGTCTCTTATCTCTGACACATGACACACAGGACTGTCGACAAACAGGTGAAGGAAGATCAGGCAAACTTTGTCTCACTCTGGCCGCGCCCGGTGTTATTCTACCGTCCAGTTTTTCTTCTCTGGGCCTTGTCGTATGCAACTGTTGGTTCAAATTTCCTGATGGTGTATGCAACTCCCAGCAACAAGGACAAGCTTAGCGGCCGCCCCACATGCTGCAAACGAAGCTTCGACTGTTCCACTGCAAGCAAAAGCCAGGTTCTTTTTTCTCCGCCGAGTAAGTTGACGGGACCTTATCGGCCAGGGAGAGCGAGCGAGCGAGCAAGCGAATTGTCTGGGCTTGTTCCAAGGTTGAAGTCGGCCTTTGATTGCGATTTCGGTCCCCACAAAAAAGTGTCGCCGCACTTACACAGGGCATGCACTTGTTCTCCTTCTCCTCCAACTTGCGCTTGCACTTTGCTTGACTGACTTTTGGTAGAAATATCCCATTTCCCACCCTCTTTCCTTTCCTTCGTGACTGAGCTTTTCCTCCTGTCTAACTAACATTTTATATCCAAAGTTTGAATCACTTCCCATCTCCAGTCTGGGCTCTTGTTCTTCCATCTTAACTGTTGTGATTCTGCTATTGCTGATTTCCTTGTGAAATCCCGTACTAACTAACTGGCTCTCCAAATCCTCCAACAAGACAGCCACTTCCATTCACCCTAAAGGGCTACGATAACCACCCTTCTTCTGCCTTTTTCCAAACATCCCTTCCGTGGAATCGTCGCTTTGCTTATTTTCCCGCCCAATTTGGGATCAAGGCGGCGATTGTTTTTTTGACAAGCTCAACAACTTACCTTTCTTTCCATCCACGCCGTGATCCATCACAAATTACCATGGGTATGCTTCGCGCTGGTCCTCGTGACCCAGATGCATTCCCGGCCATGCAGCTCTTCCTCCTGGGTAAGATCAGACATTGCACTTCAACAATATGTGCTAACTCTAAATAAGCCATTGTCCGACTCGCTGAGCCTATCGCTTTAACGTCCATCTTCCCATACGCCTGGGCCCTCGTCAAAAGCTTCGAGATAGGCCGTGAAGAAGATGCTTCGTTTTACTCTGGCATCCTTATATCCGCATTTTCGCTTGCTGAAGCTGTTATGGGAACGTACTGGGGCGCCCTGTCTGATCGTATCGGCCGCAAACCTGTTTTGATTATTGGATCGCTTGGTACAATGATCAGCATGTTGATGGTGGGAGTGGCTCCAAGCTTCGGTGTTGCCTTGTTTGGCCGTCTTCTCGGTGGTCTACTGAACGGCAATATTGGTGTTATCCAAACCATGGTTGGCGAGCTGGTCACTAAACCTGAGCATGAGCGTAAGTCTGCAAACCATTGCTCGAATTTCTGCGACTGACCAATATTTTAGCACGTGCATACTCCATCATGCCTTTTGTTTGGAGCATTGGAACCATTGTTGGCCCCTCTATCGGCGGCATGTTTGCCAACCCTCATGACTCTTGGCCTGAATCTTTTCCGATCGGCAGCCTCTTCCAGCGCCAGCCTTACTTGCTACCCAACGTTATCTGTGCAGGATTGCTGCTTGTGAGCATTGTGCTCGGTTTCCTCCTCCTCGAGGAAACCCATCCCGATATGGTCCAGCACGTTCCTACCAGCGAATACCACGTCAGTGAGGAGACCCCTCTTATGATGAACAACCGAATGGCCACCGAGATTGAGCCACGAGCGTATGGTGCGATAGAGACAATTGAGGATTCAACTGATGGCTCAATTGGGGACTGGGATACTCTCTGTATCGAAAATGAGAAGACAGCTGCTGCTCCCATCAAGATCTGGAATTGCCGTGTTGTTGGCTTCATTGTCGCCTTGTCAATCTTCACTTACCATTCCATGACCTTCGACCATTTGCTGCCCATCTTCTTCGAAGACAGCCGTGTTGATGCTGTAGAGATGTTCAAGCATGGCTCTATCTTTCCTTTCTACTCACCTGGTGGCTTGGGCATGACTCCACGAGATGTTGGCGTGATCTTGGCAATCGACGGCGGCATCGCTCTGTTTATCCAGGTTTTCGTCTTCCCTTGGACTGTCAAGATGCTTGGAACCTATCGCCTTTTCCTGCTCGTTACTGTCCTCCACCCTATTATTTACGTGCTAATGCCCATGCTCCTCCTTGTCCCCGACGGTCTTTTATACCCTGCTATCTACGGCTGTCTCATCATCCGCAACATTCTCTCCATTATACTATATCCTCTTCTTATGATCCTCATCAAGGAGGCTACACCTGCCCCAAGCGCTCTTGGAAAAGTGAACGGCTTGGCAGCAAGTGCTGGTGCTGCTTGCCGAATGATTGCTTCACCCGTCGCTGGATTCTTGTGGACGGTCGGTACCAAGTCAGATTGCTCTGCCTTGGCCTGGTATGGTAGCGCAATTGTCGCTATTTTGGGGGCCGTTCAGTGCTTCTCTGTTCCTCGCCGGCGCAATGAGGAGCCCTATGAAGAAACCTCCAAGGCACCTAACAAACAAACTGTTACAGTGACCGAGACTGAGTTTTATGACTCCCCATAAGGAGCACGCGGCGCAGGTTGAAACCCGATCAGGTCGAACATGCCGAAGCGACTTCGCGGTTTCTACAACCCGTTTTTGGACTTGATTGCCTGCAGCAAGTCATATTGTTTTATACCCTCATGAGTTTGGAGTTCAAGCATGTTTCGATAATTTGCCTACAAAAACGACTGGTAGATGGGATGGTGTTTATCACGGCCGCTTTTACGAAGTTATGTATACCCCAGGTATAATGATTGATTTGGTTTGGGATGACTTTTTACTTTTTGGAGTTTGACTTGATTATTGAAGAAAAAAGCTTTGGGAGTTGATTTGTTTTTGATTTGGGTTTATGGTTGAAGATGGGATTTGGTATATAAGTTAGATAAAAGCGAGGTAAATAGGAATAGGAACAGTTACAAATATGACCACTCCCATTTAGGCGGGCTAAAGAACGGATGCCTTGGATTGCCGCCAAGGCCTGTCTTCCTCGTTGGATTTATATGTCGACTACCATCTGTCTATATTCAGTTGTTCGTGCGATAGTCAGTGGCCCCTCTGGACAAGGCAAGAAACCTTAGGATCTCCATCGTAAGTGATAGAAAGATTTACATAAGCTGAGACATATGTTAGTAGGTCTTCAGTTTGTTTAATTATAACATCCTGAATATTAGAGGTTTCCCCCCACGCCGGTTTCTTCTATATGAATCCTGAGTCGTGATACTCCGTAGGCAGTTGATGAGATAGCTAGGTAGCTGATGCCCAATAGAATTTTCGCCACCCACCCTAGAGTTGGAGAAGCTCAAATTTTAGCAATTGAGTCACTCTGAATCCACCCACCAATGACATCTGAAGTGTAAGACTCACCACAATATTCCTGACTTGCAGCCACCAGTGGCATGTTCATCCGCTGTAAAAGGCAAAAATGAAGATCGAGGAAATTACCGACAAGATGGATGAGGCTATGAAGCTGGAGCAGGCCTCACCACAGCCAAATACCAGCGCCACAGAGGCCACCAAACCTGAGCTGCCTCCAGCTCGTGCCATCGCCAGCGGAAAGACTGTTGACGAAGTATGGGAAGATCTAAACAAGTCGCCCCTTTTCATGACAGACCTCGATGCCAATGAGGAGAACGAAGACATTGCAGCACTGCAGGCACTCGCGTATGAAGGCACACCTCTCGAAAACGGCCAAGAGTTCAAGGAGCGTGGAAACGAGTACTTCAAACTTAAGAGCTACGCTGATGCGAAGGAGTTTTATGGAAAAGGTATTGCTATTCTCGCTGGCGAAGAGCGCAAGCGCGCCAGGGGCGAGCAGACAAAAAACCAGGAGGGCGTAATCGACACTGAGGAAGAGATTCAGAAGCAACGCGAGACTCTTGAAGCGCTCTACGTCAACCGGGCAGCATGCCACCTTGCTGTTAAGAATTACCGCAGCTGCTGGCTTGATTGCGCTGCAGCATTGCGGCTCAACCCGCGAAACATCAAGGCATACTTCCGCAGTGCACGAGCACTCCTTGCGGTGGACCGTATCCAGGAGGCCGATGATGTTTGTGCGCGCGGACTTTCATTAGACGAAAACAATGCTTCGTTGCGTGCTGTAGCGGACGATATCATTAAGCGAGCCAAAGAGATCGACGCGCGACGAAAGAGGGACGCAGAGCGCGAAGCAAAGCAGAAGCGACGCGCACTACTCATCAAAGCTGCACTGCGAGCGAGAAATATTCCCACACGCACAACCTCTCAACCACCAGAGATGGAAGATGCGGGTATTGCGCTCCTCCCAGATCCTGATGATCCCCGCAGCACGCTTGCGTTCCCAACAGTACTGCTGTACCCTCTACACCTGGAATCTGATTTCATCAAGGCGTTTGAGGAAACACATTCGCTCGATGATCATCTGAGCTATATCCTCCCTCTGCCGTGGGACAAGGAGGGTGTGTACACGACAACAGGTGTAGAGGCGTTTGTGGAAACCACACAGGGTGGCCTCCTAAAGATGGGCAAGCGGGTGCCGCTGTTGAAGGTTTTGGGAACGGGGAAGGTCGAGGTAGTGGACGAGGTGGTGAGGATCTTTGTCGTTCCTAAGGATAAGGCAGAGGCATGGACAAAGGAGCACAAGGCAAAGAGAGCGGCTGAAAAGGGAGAGACAAGCTGATGGATGTAAGAAAGAGAGAAAGAATATAAAAAAGTTACTTTCCTTTGTTTTACAACGATGTTCTTGTACTAACAAAGACTTGCGATTGCTGTTTCCTAGGCCCTAAATGATGTGCTATATGCTGTTATGATATGATCGAGATGCCACCCGATACTGGCGATTGAGTGATTGAGTGAACCCAAGTCCGAACTTTTCCATTCTATTCGCTGTTAATACTATAACCCCCAAAGACTCCTTTGTCGACAGAACCCCATTGCACCTTTCCCCTTTCTGCCACAGTTATTTGGACAACGAAGTGGCTCGCAGTCTCTTATTGCGACGTCCTTCCTCGAGCTCAGGCTGCAGTTGGATAGGAGGCGGCGACTCGACGGCGTTGGGAGCAGAGGGCCCCTGGTCTTGCATCCTGAGGTTTAAGAGAAGCATAGCTGCGTCCTTCTGGGCCGCATCAGGTACGCGGTGTGGCGTCTTGATCACTCGTTGCCTCATAGGACTGGCGTCAGGGGTCGAAACCATGAGAATAGATCTCGGGCTCATGGCGGGACTGGCACTCTCTCTGTAAAAGCTGTCCCAGTCTTCGTAGTCCAGTCGTCTCTTGGGTCCCCACGGAGCACAAGAGAGAGCTCCTTCATTCTGCAAAGGTGGGATGCGAGGGACCGCACTAAGCAAGGGATTAGGCTCAGGGCTAGACTGGTTTGCAACGGTCCAACTAGATCCCGGACGAGAAGTCACCATATAGCCAGGAAGTCCCGAGCCACTACTCGAGGCTGAGTTGGGAGCTGACATGTAATGGCATTCGACGTCGCTGTCCATGGCCCACGATGGGTCACAGAACAGACGGGGTCGGAATCGATGGCGGCGCTCGTCTTGGGCATAAATACCCGGTGGAATACTTCGATCGTCTCTCGGATAGCTCGTAGCGCCGTGGAAGCTAGGTGGGATCGTACTCATATGCATACGCCTAGTCATTTCGGCTTCATGGGTAGCTTCGATGATTATTTGCTGGCTGATGACCATGCGGCCGAAGTCAGGCGCGCTGGGATGGATGCAGAGAGATGGAAAATCTGGGCCAAAGATTGGAATCAAGGCACCCGCGATAGAGTAACAGAAGGTTGCGCAGACAGCTCTGGCACATGTGTACGGCATCCAATAACCTGCGTAGACTGATGAGCAAACGACCAGAAGACGCTGAGAGATGGATCATACCTTGAGCAGCTATAGAACCTCCAGTAATGCTATGTGTGATTTCTTTGAGCCCTGGGTTGAGGCCTAGCATCTTTGCCGGAATTGTCTATTCCATTGGCAGTTAGTATATGTATATATATATATATTGAGGCTTGTTCTTTTACTTGCCTTTCCGTAGCCGCGACATTTGAAGAAAGGGGTCATGCGAACGAGCCCAACATTATAGTCCCACATCACAGCGTAATCAGTGTTCTGTTCAGCCAAGGTGAACTCGTATTTGAAAACTGTTAGGGTTGCGTCAATGACCGGTGATCGAAGCTAGACTTGGTAACTTACCCTCGAAGCTCTCTCGTCCTGTCTTTTCGTAAAAGTCCTTTTTGCCACTGTTGTATGGGATGTGAAGGCTTGAATCCTGTATATTCCCAAATGGCTTGACTCGGAATCGGTGTATCTCTTGCAAAGCAACCTCGTCAAGATGCTCGAAAGGGTGAAACTTGACTGGACCGCGCAGCTTCGACTTGGCCATATTGTTGGCGTCTTTCGGCCCGGATCTATCAGAAACCATCATAAAACGGTTCCCAGATTGATTTGATGCTTCTTCGAAGTTCGGGATTGGTGGAAACTCGAGCACAGGACTTGGTCGAGGAAAGGGGGGGTCATTATCTCCAGCTGGTGCTGGGTTGAGGAGACCTTTAAGGGACAACATGATGAAAACCAGTAAAGTTTGCCAGAAACTAGAAGTTTTAGAGGCGCAAAGATGTTTGAGAGATGCGGGAGGCCAGATATTTGGCCGTAAAGAGATGGCTAAACCAAGTGGTTTGGATAGTACAGCGGGCAGCGGCCGTGATATAACTACTTCTGGATTGCAGGGAAGGACAGGCAGCCGCAACACTACAGCTGAGGGAGACTCTTCGCTTTTCAAGTCACTCCTCAGCTTGACAAACAAGTCGGGAAGGGGCAAATATGCCTGCGTGTACCGAAATAGGCGGTGGTGAGGAACCCTAACCTGAGCTGGCTCGGCCAGCAAAGTTGCTCGGGAACCTGCAACTCCAAAAAGTCGGTCACGCCTTGTTTAGGTCAGGCCGACACTCTTCGCTATGTTTTCTTTGTTCTTTCAGTTTCAATGCCGGCTTCCAAGGGGCTAGAGCTCCGTTGACGAGCTCCCACCGCCTGGTGCTAGCAGATACTAGGAACAGCCACCAAGTGATAGATGACGGAACGATGTCGGGGTAGGCTATTAATGATATAGTAAAAGAAATTGGGCTCAGTTTGAAGCCTAGGGGAAAATGCAAGGATGAGGTTTCCAGATACTTTGATGAATAGGAACGTATTGCTGCGTTGTCCCACTGCTATGGTTTTGTTCATCCACCTAGGAGATATGTTTGAGCCCAGAGTCCCGCCTTATCAAACAGCTCCTCTATAGCCTCTAGAATTCCCCTCCGCATTAGGAGGACCATAAGGCAGAAAGAACTGCAACAGGGGTGCGTATTGGAGCTGTCGGGTGTGGATAGGTCAGCCTTCACTCCGTGCCGTCCGTTACACTCCCGGATACATCCTCTCCTTTACTCTGAACTCCAAAGGGCACCACAAAATCCTGGCTTCGTCTAATTAATATTGCAGTTCGTCTCTCATTGATTGAATGGCCAACTCCCTGGCATAGTCTGGAGGCTGGAGATCAAGACTGAACTGTGAGCCGCGAAGGAGTGCCAAGAATAACGAATTGGTTGTCTCGCCTTTCAAAGGCGGCCCCACGGGCTCAGAGTCAGAATGAAGTACAGGCGGATGCTTGCATACCACATCGTCCAGGACCTTCTACCCCAGTCTGTTTCCTGGTATTTGTACAACAGGAGACAGCGACCCTGCTGCCACTGAGGTTATGTTGTTCATCTCAGCACTCCCTCAGAATTGCTCGAGTCGCCCCCACGTGTCAGTATGACAACTGACAGCTAGAAGGGGCACGCTTCCTTACTGAGGCGGCTTACACATCGACATGGCCAACAGGCCTATCAGACGTGTCTCCTGTTTCTGCGGTCAATGAATATATGAGGTGGCAATGGTTTGTCAGGGATACCTTTCATGGGTCCTTCTATTTTGACCAAAGACCTGCGCATAGCCGTTGCATACTACACCAGTGGTAGGTTTCTGCTGAGAGTTCGATGGCGCTTCCAGAAGTCAGTCTGGTATATTCCCTCCCCATATGATCTATTGCGGTGAAGCCAGAAACAAACCTGTCATGTCTCTGACCTTTGTTACTCTCACGAGCTCTTTGGCGTACAGACACAAGAAAATTCCCCGAAGGGGGACACAAGCCTATGCCAAATACGCTCGCCCCTCCTGCCCATGGAGTAGCCATCAATGCTTTGCCATTCAGTTACCATTTGATTCAAGTTACGATTGCGCCAGTGTGAGAGAGCCTGGAGGACTTGTTGGGCGTTGTGCCCTCCATATCGTCAACTAGCGTAATATGACTGCACCACAATTCCTGAAACACAATGTCATTGACCTAAGCCACCATACCGTTGTTGCGTTTTACTCTGCTCTCTTGTCACGAGTAGGCATGAGACGCCGGTCGAGGTCGGTGACCTTTTGGCAACTATCGCTGTCTCGCGAAATTCATGGCATCTGGCGCGACCAGCCGACGGCTCGGGCAGCGACGCTCTTCCGCGGTCGGGTCTTCTGTCCACTTAATATAAATGGCCAGTGATGGTCCTGTCGCTGAATAGGGAGTAACCAGTCAACCAGGAGTTGCAGAAAGGGTAGAGGCAGGGCCCAACAACGGGCTATGGCGTTTCTTGAGTGAACACCGTCTTAGTCTGCAGCATTTGGGCATTTGAGGCACTGTCTGGGTATCTCGGTCTTCCTGATTCGGACAAAATGACATCCGTGCCAATTTTGAGAGATGGACAGCATATTTGGCACCTCATCAAGCTTATCGGACCGAGCTCTGACGGATTTGTAAATGACTGATTGTCCAAATCGGTATCAGAGTAGATGAATTCCTTCTTAGTTCTCATAACTTGGTTTCAGATGATTGTACGATTTCGGAGCGGTATGACAGCGGCAGTCTATGGCGAGTTAGCGTTTCTTTTGCACCAGGCGCAGCCAAAGACACAAAGCGGCTCCCTGCATCGAATTTCGGGCGGTGTCACCGTTCTTCCTCCCCCGTTGGTGTGGCATGAGTCTCGTTGCCCGCGTAAGATAGCTGTGTTGTGTAGAGAGGCAGTGCTTTTGTAATTAGATTTGAGGACTTTAGATGTTTGATCGAATCCAGCCTCACAAGGTAGGAAGGAATGAAATGCAGCACTGGCCATACCACATGGGTAGAAGCCAAAATCCCGGCTTTGAGCCTGGTGTGAAGACCACATCAGAATGTGGCCATAATACCTACTTTCGCATTTTCAGCGATGCTACACGATGACCAACAAATGTGCCCATCGAATGCTATAGCAGGCGCAACAAGCCGCAAGCTGGTCCGGCGATGAGTCGATAGTCGATGCCTCGTTGAGTCCTCTGGTGGTGATACGGTCCGCTAAGTCAAGTTATTCTCGAATATGGTGAAACCAGGAGAATAAACAAGTCTCGTAGGCTCAGCCCATGGAGACACACAGGCATTTGGCAGACACTTGCCCTCATCCTAAGTCGCACACTTTGACTCGGCCCGCTTAGCCCAGGCTGAGACCGGTGCATGTCTGACTTCGAGCTTGACAGGCTCTTTTCGGAGAATAAGCGACCGCGATACCACTAGAAGAGGGCCGGCCTCGGATGCTTTTCATGTTGCCGCACTTTCTATGAGGAAAGCTCCTGTTCTGGGAGATTTGTGGCACGTGTGGCACGAGCCGAAGCGTTAATCAAACGAGGTGAGTAATGGTTTGCTATCCTTTTATTTGTTCTGGAGATGATTTCATTCCATCTTAATCAAAATGTGATCCTGTTTGGCCTGAAGAGGTCTTGAGCCGAGAGTAAGTTTGCATAAGGGGAGCCTTGAGTTCATCCCGTCTTTGAGCGAACCGGTGAGGCGAGTAGTATCGGGTTTGACAGAAACGAATTAATCTCCTCCTGAAACCCGAAAAGACCTTTCAGGCCGACTTTCTTTGCAAGGAAATCCAGTGTCAAGAAATGAGTAAACAATCGGCAATTCAAAGCCATTTCCTTTAGTACCTTGGTCTACTCAACGTCTCTCCCACTCACACCGGTTTACAACATCATGTGCCAGGTCACGGGGTCTGGCGTTTGGAAGAGGGGATTTGGCCTGAGGCGTAAATGCGCAGCCCCACGACGGGCGGAAGTGGGTCTCCAACGTCGCGTCCCTGTAAGATTTGTTTACAATAGGGACCCTTGATTGTCACAACAACATAACAAGGTAGGACTGTTTTAATAGTTGATGGGAAGTCTGGCACCTTTTGTTTCTTCATTTTTGTTATCGCGACTCTGTACGCGAGCATCACCACTCGCTCGACCTGGTCGTCCTCCATTCTTGACCCCATTGTCTTTATTTTGTCCCTCAGTGAGACCCCTGTATTCAAACTCATTGTCCTTAAATCCTGTCCTGGCGCCACAAGCCAGATTCTTTGCTCTCACTGCCAACAACAACAAGATGGACTCCGATGCGTCCATGTTCAGTCTTGGGGAGGAGTCAGATGGCTACGTCCCTGAAACCGTAAGTAATCCTTTGTTTTACCCCTCTTTTGTTGGCACAATAAATCGGTATGCGCATTGTGTGCCTATTTCTCTTCCTCAATCTGCATCGCATTCTTTCAATTCCTTTCTTAAAACTTATTTACATCAAGCACCTTCTCCGCCGAACACTTTCGTATCTGCACTTTTTGCACAAACATAACCTGACATTTCCTTTAACAGAAGGCGAAATCCAAAGCCGCACCAAAGAAGGCTGCTGCGCGGCCGCCCGTCAAAAAGATGGTGCAAACAACCCTCAAAACGAAGAGCGCACCCAAAAAGCGCCCTACACCGGAGAGCGACGACGATGATATAAGCGTTGCCACAGGTTTCTCAAACACGCCTCCCAAAGCTAAGAAGCAAAAGAAGGAACCTGCGGTCAGCAAGTCTTCTGGTGCGCCCTTGGAGGAGCTTGAGAATGATAGCATGGTGATTGACAGCCCCGCCAAACCTGGCAAGAAGAAGACGGCCACCGAAATGTACACGAAGCTGTCACAACTAGAGCACATCCTCAAGCGACCTGATACATACATCGGCTCTGTTGAGAGGACGGAACAACAGATGTGGGTTCTGAGCAAAGAGACCCAGTTGATGGAGTACAAGAACGTCAGCTTTGTTCCTGGTCTTTACAAGATTTTTGACGAAATCTTGGTCAACGCTGCCGACAATAAGCAGCGTGATGGCTCCATGACTTACATGAAGATCAATATCGATCGTGAGAACGGTGTGATCAGCGTCGAAAACAACGGAAAGGGTATTCCTATTGTTATTCACGAAAAGGAGAAGATCTACATTCCTGAGCTCATCTTCGGACATCTGTTGGCGGGTTCCAACTTCGACGACGACGAGAAGAAAACCGTTGGTGGTCGCAACGGTTACGGTGCCAAGCTGTGTAACGTCTTCAGCACTGAATTCAACCTTGAATGCCAAGACAGCGAGCACGGCAAGAGGTACAAACAGACCTGGAGAAACAACATGCAGACGATGGAGAAGGCCAAAATCACCAGCAGCAAGACCTCAGACTTCACCCGA